GGCATAATTTTTTTGTAATAATAAAATACAGTCAGTTTTATATTAAATGTTTTTATATTATATTTCTATATAAAATATATTTATGTAAGTGACATGARTAAAGAGTGTCAGTTAGGGCTACTTAAAACATTAATTGTTCTGTGTTCCTACAACCTCCTGGCTCATACCACTAATTGTTAACATTAGTAATTACACAGCACACTTCTGAGTTGGCAGTGTCATCAAAGCCATTTTCTCTATGAACTTAATGCTTGAGATTTTATAGGTAGGAGTGTTTATATTTAGAGTGCTTTTATAGGCTTTTTTTTTTCATTCTCAAACATGGTTTCTTGTTGAAATACAGAATCTAAAGGAAATGAGGGACAATTAACATCTCTTTCTATAACCATTGCTCTTTTCAAGTAGTGTTAAATAAACGATGATATACAGGATTTAAACCCAGTAAGGGTCCAAAGCCTTCAGTGGTACTCATTATTTTAAAGGCAAACTGCTCTGACTCTGTACTCATACCTTTGTAAGATGCTGATCTCTGAGACAATTCAGCTTTTTAATCGAAAAGACAATTTTTATTAAACTTTTTTGTCACACTAAATTAAAAGCAGAAGTTYAGTAACTGGACTCTTGTAAAAGAACACATAAAAGAAGATGAAAATACAGAACAAAAGGAACAGTTTGTAAATCACCAAGATTATACTGATGCAAATGAATAAAAATCCTTTATCCTATATAATGAAGATGTCCTGTAGGTTTTTCTAATTTAGTAGAACTATTCTGTTGGTTTATCTGTTTTTGCTGTCGTTGTTTTTCTCTTTCTTAGGACTTTACAGGGAAGCTCACAGTAAAAATACCTACCAAGGATGCTCCTCTCAAAGACAAATTAATGTATGCTTATAAAAGAGTTTGTACAAAGAGATTTGATTTTACATATAACCTTTCAACAGAGCACTTAGAACATATTAAAACTGACATTTCCCTAGTGAACTAGGCAAGTTTTTATTCATTTCTTAAATGGAAAAAAAAACCAACAACAAACAAACAAACAAAAAAACAACACAAAAACACAGACAAGGAAAGTTTTCCAAAGTCATAAGTGGGAGAAAGGTGGAAATGTGAATCTGGAGATTTAACTAATTGGGATACAGTATAAGCCCTTTTAAAAGATGCATTTTCAGTGATAATTTGTTAGATATTTATTTACAAGTATGATYGTAATCATACTTGTAAGAACAAGCTAAACAGGCACAGTTATTCAAAATAACTTAGGTACTATAAATGAATCTCATCCTGGAGGAAGAGTAAACATGTAGCTTCCACATCGACGAAGCCTTTTGCTTTAACCACAGCCTTTGTCCTTCATGTAGGTAAGGATGTAAAATTCCAAGAAGCCCAGAAGCTTCTAGGAAGCAAAGGAGATATATTCCCAGTCCCTGGCCGTTTTTAGATCAAGGATGATTCCTTTTATGCAAAATATACTTTAGTCAAACAAGTGCTGCTGAACTCCCTGAAGTRGTAACTGGATAAAAAAAATCTATGGTCAAGCAGAGAGGATCAAAAAGATCTTTTTCATGTTATTATATCTGAATCTAGGGATAATACTAGTATTAACTCTTAAGAAATTTTCAGCTCAGTTAGCCAAACTTGACTAATATTAGAAGAAAGAAAAGATAAATTTAAAATATTAAGCATTTTGGYTAATGAGACAGAATATTTTAGAAAGTTATAATAATATATAATTGTATTAAGCAGGAGTGGGAGTGACATTAGGTCTGTAATTTCTACTGTAAAACCTTTATGGTGRTGAAGAATTATATTGAGGAAAGGAGCATCATTTGATATAGATATCAATAGAAGGATGTGAGACAGCGAGCAAGAAGCATATGAAATGTGTACCTTTGCAAGGGTAAGCTATCAGACTCCTCACCTTCGAAGTGTGTTTTGCTCTGAAGTTGAAGAAAGATTGCATTTAAACAGCAGGAAAAGATTGTGACAAGAAAATGCAAACAGAAGCAGAAAAAAATGGAATTTGAAAGCAGATAAGAAGTGGAATTCACTACACAAATCCTATGAGTAGAGTGGACAAGGTAAAGTATATTATTCTATTCCTATTATATTATATTTTCCTATTATTATTATTATTATTATTATTATATATTCCTATTATGTTATTCTAATCCTAGCAAGTAAAAGACACTCTTAACTAAACATTCTTATGTAGCAAAGAATGGGACCTCAACTTTACATCACCTATCCATATATCAGAGAGTACTTGTTCATTGACACTGCTACACATTTCTAAGGCAAGTACTATACTTCCAGTAAATTAGATTGTGCTACACAAGCAAATTTATTTATTTATTTATTTATTTATTTATTTATTTATTTATTTATTTGCTTACTTATGTTTATTTTCATTGGTCAAGATGCTTTTAACATAACCATCAGCTGTAGCTGTAACTAAATTATCATCATCATGAAAAAATTAAGGATGTGTGATATCAGACCTTAGCTGTCAAGTATTCTGTGCAATCTGATCACCAAAAAAAAAAATAGAATATCTATTTTAAAAAAGTGCCGGTCATCATTCCTTTAAAAACATATCTGTTTCCCTAAAAATCCAAATCCTTGTTCACACTATATTAAACGATGGACAAAATTCCAAAGGGACAATTATAACTAACAAATCAGGGAGAAATCCATACTAAGGAATAAATGAGATTTAATTAATATTTCAAGTGTCAGAATCATACCCATAATTTCCCCTTAAGACCATTAACACAGATATTACAGGCAGACTGTCTTGCTGCAGAATGAATTAACCAGGTAGACAAAGAAAGAAAAAAAAAAAAAAAAAAAGATAAATCATGATCCTCTAATCCCTTTTCTGTGTCGTTTGTTCTGGCTACAGACTTAGTGTCTAAGTCTATGTCCATCTATGTCTTTTTCCACCTAAAATGTGCGTGTGTACTTTAAATATATATATATATATATACATGTGGAAAAATGAAGGAATTTCCATTCTTTTGAAGGAAACATAATCATTATGTCATGAAGTCACAGAATAGCAGAGGTGGGAAAACATCTCTGGAAATCATCTAGTCCAAACCTCCTGATCAACGCAAGGTCAGCTAGAAGAGGTTACAAAGTGCTGTGTCCAGTATCTCCAAGGACAGAGACTCTGCAGCATCTCTGGGCACACTCTTCTAGCGCACAATCACACTCAGAAGAATCTCCTTGAATTTAAATGATATTTCCTTTATTTCAGTTTGTGCCCATTTGCTCTTCTACTGGACATACCTGTCTTCTTTATTCCCCTYCCAGCTCTTTCACTCTCTTCTAGTATGACAGACACTCCAAGCTCTTTATCATCTTATTTGCCCTTCACTGGGCTCATTACAGCAGGTCCACACCTGGCCCAGCACTGGCCACAGCACTCCACATGTGGCCTCACTAGAATGCTGGCAACATTGTCTAGTCCATTCCTGGAGGCTATTGGTCTTCTTGTCCTCAAGGGCACATTACTGGTTCATGGCCGACTTTTTGTCCAGCAGGCCTTCCCCAGAAGAAGAGCTGCTTTCCATCAGGTCAGCCCCCARCCTGTCCTGGGTCATGGGGTTATTCCTCCTGAGTGCAGGACTCGACATTTTCCCTTCTGGAACTTCATGTGGTTCCTCTTAGATAGTGGTGACATTTTCATTCTTCCACACCTCAGACATCAACAAGTTCTCCTGCTTTCATTGCTGTCACCTTCTCCCATAATCACCATATTCTATCACTTAATCATCTACATACAAATCGTCAAAAATTTCCAAGATTTTTTCAATAAAATAATTTAAAAAGCCAATCTTAGAATTGATCCTTTACACAGAACATTTTTGACAATGTCAGGTGGATTGAACTGTGTTTGCTCAGAGAATAGTAGAGTTTAGAAGACAAACATGCGGCTTAGGATCATGGTTTCTYGAAAGAGACCTTTGTATTTCAACTGGTAATTATTTTATATCAATCTGTGGAAGAAGAAATATAAAATAAATCAAAAGATGCCATAGAATCAATAATCCTGTACAAGAATATGWTTAATTTAATGAGGTAAACAATATATTAAATGCAACAATAATTTAAATGTAGGAAAAGTGCTTGTCAAATTTCTAAGTCCATGGCATAGTACATTTATATAAATATATGCAAGTTAGGCAAGACTTCCTTTCTTATTCTCTTTTAATTGACAAACCGTCTTGGAAATACTCCTGGGGAAGTAAAGTGAAGAATAAAAAGGAAAATAAATTAAGAGGAAGAATCATAGATGATTGAAAGTCCAATAATGTAAAAGAGATTAAACCTTGAAAAGATTATAAATAGAGAATAATAGGAATAGAAATAAAGCCAGAGTGTGATGTATTATCTTTACTATATACTGACTGAGTTTCAGATTTTTATCTCAGTTTTGTTTGTAAAAGAGAATATAGGGAATTATTACAAAAAATCACCTAGTTTAAGAGCAGCTGCAGATTCCTTGTAACTTACATTATTTATTAATCTTTAATGACTTCTTTTTTTTCTTCTAGTGATTTTTTCCCTACATGCTTCAAAAGCTAGTAAAAAGAATGCAATCTTCTTTTCCTGTAAGAGTCTATGGGAGTGACTTCACAAGCCAGATATGATRTTTTGGCACTAGAAAAATATTAACAAAAATTTGTCTCCACAATCTCATTCTAACTCATGAGTGGAACATGGTTGAAACAGTTCCTAAGGGCTATAAGCTTTTATATTATCACTCAGAATGGAGATTTTAAGTGGTGACAATTACTTATAAAACTGCTAATTAGCTCTCTCACTCTTATTTCAAATCCACTTTAGGCAACTCCTACAGCTGAAACAGTATTGGACAAAAAAATCTATCTACTATCAAAATACAAGGAGAACAATTATCTTACAAATATTCTTTCTCATTCCTAATAAGACTATTCCTTCATGCCATTTGTTACAGGAGTTATGGAACTTACATGATAAGTACTCTAGTTCCTTTCTCCAGAGATTTTTCATAGTTGGAGACTTTGTAACYGAAGAGTTCAAAACGAATTCCACTTTCTTAGAGATGTCTGAGTAGAATCCAGAGCCAGAGAATCAGATCTCCTGAGTTTGAGACAGATGGAAAATATTATGTGGGTTATGCGTGGCAATAARGGACTTGATTTTATAACTCCCAAATGTTCTCTTTAGTCCTATGTCCTTATATGACTATTATACAGCGAATATTACCACAATTTCCAACATAATACCTCTAAAGTGAGACTTTTAACAGCAAGCCTGATTTCCTGAMTTTCTCTGTGGTAGAACCTCAAGAGCCAATTAATCTTAGTTTAATCTGACTAGAAGATTTCTTTCCAGCTATGTCAAAGTTATAGAGCTATTTTGATCATAGTACTTGATTTGATGTTGCAAAGACGACTTACTAATTGTCCAAAGATACAAAGCATTTAAAAAAATATCCACAAACATATCTCCCTGGTAAGCTCCATTCAGTCCTGTAACTGTGTGTTTGGGGGGGGCCCACTTCCCACATTGATGATGCTTTTTTTTTTTTTTTTTTTAACCTCCTCAGGCAGCCTGACTTAACTTTGACACTGTTTCTAGCTCTATTGCTCTCTCTTTAAGAGATCCACTCCAATTTCATTTTTAAGAATCAGGAAAGTTAACATCAGGCATCTTTGAGCTATCTAGAGGAAAGAAAAGTAGAATGGAAAAGAATAAGGAGAACAGACAAMTTTACATATGATGAAAATGTTTCTGCTTTAGGTAAGAACCCTCTGAAGACTTAATACAGTTTTGTCTGTGAAGATATCAGGTTTATGATGTACATACTTCACTTTTTTTGTAGTCTTCTATCTCATAAATTGATTCAAACAATGCTCATATTAGCTAAATTTATATTATAGCTGTGGTATAAGGGATTACTTTTTAATATATCTGTACAGCTTCTAGCATAGCGAACMAGGATTGTGAACAGAATCAAAATTTTAATACTACTAATAATGTTACTGATACATTTAATGGACTATCAAATGGAGAAGARCTTCTGATTTCTATATGAGATGCTTTTATCACATTATTACCTACACCTGGRAAGGACTTAATGATATGTTAATCCTGCAGTTTTATTTTGCTCTTCAATACCGATCTAAAAATTGTAAGTACAATTCTAACTAAGAGATTTCAGAAAACATGACTTCTTTTTCAATRAAAAGAGATCAGCCTGGCTTCATTAAAATGGTATACCTGACATGAAGGATGCAAAAAATGTCACACTCCTTCACTCAGCAACTCACAAAATAAATCCTTGATGATTTAATCACAAGAAGGAACTTATGTTAGGTTTAAAGTGGACAGTTTGGGCTTTATTTGAATATTGAGGAACCCACCCTCCATGAAATAGGTGGAAACRGTAAAGTGCAATGTGAATGAATGACTAGGTCCAAAGCATTTCCATTTATGTAACTCTCTGGGTTATCCATCTGCCACCTCAGATGGTCATGAAAGTAGTCATACTCTTAGAAAGTGCTCTAATAATCCTACATCTGCAGSAATGAGAAATGAAAAGTGTCACAGCTAAATTCAATATCAAACACTTAAAATTATTAAAACTRTTGAGTATGACTGGCTGGTAAGGAAATAACTGGATGATTAAGAATGTGTTAAATGAAGGAGGCCTTCAGCTGTTTCATTTTAAATATATTTTTGATTTTCCATCATTTCTTTTGTTTTTATAAAATGAACTTACACATTTTTATTTAGATAAAATAGCAGTTATTTGCTATTTTAGGCATTTCAGAAAAATATTGCAAGTATGTAGTTCAAGTTGCTGAGCTGTTACTCAGGTTGCTGAGAGCACTTGCTTTCTAAAAACCAGCTTTCATTTTTTCAAAGCCTGTGATAATGAATAAGAATTTTTTTTCTTTCTTTTTTTCATACTAAAGCTTGAAATAGTACAGAAAAATAATTGCAGGGTTTTTGGAAAACAAAGCAATGACTCCAAATTCAGTTGTTTATTAAAATCCATATATATATATATGTTTATGAATATACATATATTTAGCGCTGAGAGTTTCAGGTTTTGTGAAAGGCCGTCTACAGCAAATAAAAGATAAATACATAGAAATGCTACAATCAAAGAAGAAATTATGAGTATAAAAGACTATGTCTTCTGACATAGACAAGTTACTAAAAATAAATAACAAAACTCCCAAACTACATGCATGAATATTCTAGATAAAATGGCTCACTGTTCTCTAATTCTCAAACATTTCTTGGAATTCTCTGTAAATCCTCTACAGGTCTGTTGCCTGTCTTCTGCAGCCATGTGACATGAAACAGTCCTCATCAGGAATATATTAGTCACCCAAGACATATATATATAAAGCAGGATAGTGTGGTGTATCAGAGAAATGGTATATTTCACGTACAGTGCTATTGTAGTTTAATTTATTGCATAAATTGGCAGAAGYAGATTACCTTTCCTAATTCAGCTGTGTATGACCATAGTGATGACAGAGAATATTTTCTTTGTCACTATATAAAGAWCTTTTTCCTTTTTTTTTCAAACTAACTCTGCCCAGAATCTGCCACTGGTCCAGAGGGTAAAATTTACACCGAAGTAGGGAAAAATGTGTCCTATCTTTACAAGTGCATCACTTATCTCAGTTCTTTCATTCAAGGAGGTASAAAAGTCCCTCTACCTTCCTATCAACAGCTACAATCCAGCAGTATAGGACTAGAGGGATAAAGCTGGAGATCCATACATTTCAGATGTTCCCATCTATTTACTTTATAAATGATACTATATTCTAGTCATGTTTCTCTGCTCACAAAGTAGCATTGCAGAACTGACAGAAAATAGTGTTAGCTAGTCTGCAGCTTTTTGTTGTTTTCTTTTTAAAGTCATAACTAGTATTGGCTTGCTTCTTCCTATGGTATAGGGGTATCATGCTATCCCTGGACTTCAGTCCACTGTAGCTAACATACTCATGCTCCAGTGCACTGATCTTGAGCCATAAATTGACTCTTTCATCTGATTCTCACCCAGACATGAGAAAGCAAAATATATGAACAGGTTCAAATATGGCAATGACAGACTTGAAGACACTAGCATAGATTTATTTCTGTATCAGTATAATAATTGTATTTTTGTCATTGTAAAATCTGAAAGGATATTAGAAATTAAAACTGTTTTTCTTATTTCTTACCTGAGTTAATTTCTTTGACCATTGGGTTATTGCAGTGATTTGTTGCTCTTGCACTCTCATCATGTTCTGATGCTAGTGCTGCCGTGAAAATATCTCCCGTAGACTCATAATGAACAGGCTCAAATTGCTCTGTAATGTGACACTTATCATTATTTTTCCCTTTACCAATTGAAAATGGGAAAGCTAATACATTTAAGGCAGGGTGATGGKAACTGATGGTAAATCAAATACCTTTTGAACAAGCCCTTCCCCTACATTTCTCCACACTAAGAACTTCTACGGCAGCTAAGTAAAATAAAGAACTATTCTTGTTCTTATTACATGGATGTCTAGCAATATTGAGCTCTAGTCCCACTATGCTACCACTGTGAGTTTTACAGACTAGCAACAAAACACATCTCAAGAATCAGTGGCTGAAACCTGATTGATTCAAGATAGAAATGAGGTGTATATTTTTAATCAAAAACTATAAGGGAAAACTGACTCTTCTTCCTGGAGTCTTCACAAAGCTCAGATCCCTTATAAAAGCCCCTGCTGTTTATTCAAATGCCACTTATTGGACTAAATCTAGAAATAATAAATTAATTTTTGAGCAACCAAGAAGATAAGATATGATGAACCATTTGAGCTTCTGGTCTTAAATTTTCTGAATGGGAATTTCACTGCCTAGACAATGGGCAAGAGTAGGAGTTTATGATTCCCATTTCACGGATGAGGAAGAGAAGAACAAGAACAAATAGCTCTTGATTTGACATAACATGTCTGTACCAATATTAGAAATGAAAGAAAGGTGCCTAAGATTGAGGAGGAAATGTTTTACAGATATTTTGTTTTCAGCCTACTCCTTAAAAAAATCTACAGGTTCACCATTTATATATATGTTTTATATATATATAAAATATGTATATACATATAACATTTAGATAGCTAGAGGTCACTTAGATGCATCTTTGTATAGCTTTTTATCTGTCTGGTATTTGAGCATGATACCTGATAGGTAATGTATATGAAAGGCAGCTGAACTGCCATATTTGTGACAACTCCTGTTCTTTGTCATCTTAGATTTCTTGTGATTGGCGCTCACTGCCACATTACTGTCTGACTCTCTTCCAGCAGCAATACGATCTCACTTGCTTATCCATTTCAGCTGCTTGTAGTCAACAGGCTCTCTGTGCTCATTCTTTTTTAATAAGAATTAGTGTCAACATTCCACCTGGAAAAGAATCATAATGTTCATGAAGAATTGCTCCTGCTGTGTCAAAGATTTGTTTACAATATTCACTGGAGGATGCAGCTTAGGAATTTAACAACCATATACGTAAGTTCTGGCCTCCATGTCCACTGTTCCCTCCAATATACTTAGTACAGTCAATGTATGCAGACTTACAGCTGTCCAGCAGATAAGGTGACACGCTCCAGTTGACAGTTGCCACTGGAGATGCTGCAAGTGGGAACTAGTGCTTCCATGCAGGCCAGGAAGCGAAAGTCTTGGAGAGTCAGACAGTCATTTTCTTCTACTATATTTTTAAAAATAATACAAACACCCATAGCAGTCCTGTTGTTCTTGCTTCCATACTGTCTGATGCTTCTCAGAATCACTGGATAGGACTACATAACTCCTCCAGACACATAACTGATCTACATTGAGACCCTATTTKTCTTATTCTGACAGAATCAGAGCATAATATCAACTAGTTATTTGCTTACTCTGTATTAATATATTAGATTGCAGCACAGAACAAAAAGTAATCAAGCTTAAGACTTTATTGTGCAAATAATGTTAAAAAAAATAGAAAGAGCAGAAGGGCTTCTAATTTAAGACAATATCCCAGATGGATTCTGATTGACCCAATTAATTGAAGGTTCTAATTTGGGAGTGTGATTG